TTCCTTCCTTCCTTCCTTCCTTCCTTCCTTCCTTCCCTCCCTCCCTCCCTCCCTTTCTTGGCTACCTGTGATATTCTCAGGAGTCTTCTCCAACACCAAAGTCAAAAACCATCAATACTCTTCCTATCCTGCTTCTTCAAAGTCTAACTTTAGCTTCCATCATATTTAACAGTGCTATTTAGTGGCAATTTTGGAAGGCTCTCAAGGATGAACCAAAGGCTTTGTGGCACCTTATGCAGCTGTAGGAGTGCAGACAGTGCACTGATGCCAAGCAAAAACCCCTTTTCAACTCAGGACTTTTAAATTCCTCAAATTATTATTTTTTTAATTAGCACTTCTGCTGTTTATCCTATGGATTGATACTAGTATTTTTGCTATATTTTTAATTCACTGCAAACTGTTCTGGAACTGAGAAAAGAAAGAAGATGCCTATTAATCCAGCTGCCTGTCTCCTTTATGACATGTAAGAAAATCTAAAATTCTCTTGATTTCCATCCTCAAAAACCTTTACCAAGTCATTGCCTAGAAGATGCAAGCATTTCATATTAAACAGTTAAAATGAAAGAGCCCCCAGTCAATCATCATATCATCATGTTAACAGCTGGATTACACTCCAGTTACCTCCTGTGACAGGATTATAGCTTCCAAAATTACCTTCCCAAAGAAAAATGTCAAGAAGTGTGGCATTTATGTAAATACCCATTAGTGCCTCTCACTACCCCAGAACCTTTTCTTTGGAGACAATTAAATGCTGTTTGCAAAGTGGATGAAACAGAACAAACTGAGACGCAATCATCTGTGGAGTCTGTGGAAACCTTAGGCTGTTTTGGCAAGGATGACCATCTGCGTTTTGGTCACCTTTTATCAAGGCAAGTTCAGAGGATCCATGTGCAGAAACAAAACCTCAGTGGAACGGCTTGTCCAGCTTGGTTCTGCTGCAGGGGTAGATTTGCCATCTTTAAAAAACAAGAGATACCAAGAGAACAGCAACTGGTTTAAACAGTAATTAAGGAGACAATTTTCAAAATACTTTCATTTCATAAGGAACTCTTTCTGTTTATGAAGATTCTCAGTCATCCAGGTGGAATTGTCTGGAGGTTGAGTCATGGCAACCGGACGTTTCTTTTGTGGTAGAGACGTTTCGCTACTTGTCCAAGCAGCTGCTTGGACAAGTAGTGAAACGTCTCTACCAAAAAAGAAAAGAAGTCCAGTTGCCATAACTCAACCTCCAGACAAGGAATTCTTTCATTATCCCAGTCAAAGACACCGTTTTCTAGAATCTTCAATTAAGGGTCAATCGTCCTGATTTACACCCCTGTGTCAATATTTTACATTGGTTGTGTTTGGAGTTCAGTTTTCCTCTTCCACCCAGATGTCCCCTGCTTTCTTCCCTCTGCTTCCTGGTGCTCTGTTTCCTTTTCTGCAAGGCAAAGGTGAAGCGAGTGACATGGAGGGATAGACTGGCCAACAGTTAGTGTTTTGGGTGCTCAGAATGTGGCCGCCCTAGTAAAAAAAAAATCAAGGGCCAAAGATTAAACGTTAGCAACAAAAGCACCAACAAAAGCTAGCCTAGACATACTAGCTAAGTGGCACTTACCCAAAGGGAAAATGGTTAGAACAATCATGAAAGCACTAACCTGGTTTTTTGTTTCCCTGCTTGCAGTTAAATGCCAGCCATTGAAAAGCGCGACTTTTTGTCAGTGCAGCAAGCAGTAAAAGCGACTAGAGGTTGTGTTTCATGAGCTTTCTGCTTTACAAAGAACCTGCAGTGGGGGGTTCAAATATGCCACTGTGCCTTTTTCCGTAAGAATAGTGCTGCTTTCATTACTGGCTTCTGCAGCTTTCCTCCGCACAGAGTAATAAAGAACGCATTAGCCTTAATTTATTATCTTCACCACAGAAGGCGTTTTTACATTCTCTCTTTTTATGTATTTTATTTTGTCATTCATTTCTTGGATTTTGTGGAAAAGTTAAAAAATACATGGTAGATAACTTATTAATATTTCAAAGAGCAGACTATTAAGTCTTTTTTTTTTAATGGGAATTTCTTTTTTATTTAAGTAGGATGTCAGTAGGTTACCTTCAGGCTTTCAGAAGAAAGCATTCTTTGCAGAAGTCAACTGGGCCAACACTTTGGAGGGCAGAGCACATGAAAGCACAAAACGCTGATATTTTCATCCTTTCCTGTTCCTTTTAAGGCCAAGGACGGTTAGATGGAGCATTGTGTTCCTTCACCAGTGAAAAAAAGCTAGAGTATTTAAAAAGAGCGTACGATGCTGGAGTGAGAAACATAGAAATGGAATCCACAGTATTTGCTGCTATGTGCAGGCTCTGTGGGCTGAAAGGTAAGTCAGAGGGCATCTGGGCAGGGTCTCCTTGTAGCTCTCTTGGGTAGCCCTGGGGTTTGGTTTGCTTTGGTTTGGTTTGGATATACAGTGGCTAGTCTTGAGCTTGAGTACCTGTTCTCTGTGGTACACCCAGCCATTGGGACCCTGGGGGTTTCTTTTCTAACTCCTATCTAAAGCCTTTCAACCTAGCCCACTGTCAACCCCAGAACTTCCCACAGATCCATAAAGACTGAGAAGCTTCTAGTTATGAACAGGCAACGTGCCCTTAATTTCCTGCACTCAGACCACAGGTTGAGAACATCTCTGCTTTCCTACTTGCAGGAAAACAATAACCATTTAGATACACAGCCAGATTTACCCAGATGGAAGAATAACCTGACACAATAGTAACTTAGAAGGGTGAGCTCTTGATGTCCAGCGACTTGTTCAGCATCACCTTCACATACCTTGGCAGTTTCCTTAAAGGGGCAGTGGATTTTCAACTACATAGTTATGTACAACACAGTCAAAATCTTCCCTTGGCAAGGATGCTCAGCCACAATCGCTCTGCCAAAAGTCTCACCTCTGATGACATGGACTCTTGTGGTCCTCCTTGCTGGCTCCTCTGCATCCAGCCAGCTCCTTGTCATGTCTCCGGCTCAGCCGGGCCCAATTTACTTGCCCAGCTGCTCCCCACTGGGCTCTCCTTGCCCTCGGCCCTCTCGCAAGCTGACGCACCGGATGATTTCCTGGCCCACCTCCCTTGAATCCAAGCTGCGGGAGACAGTATCGTGTGTTCTCCTTTTACCTCTTATTCCCAAGCAATATTTCTCTCCTGTGCCCTTTTAACAGTCTCTTACATACATCCCTTAGCTCTTCTTCAGCTCCCTATTTTCCTTTCCTTTTAAAGCTCGCCTTTCTCTTACTCTTGAGTGATCTTTCTGTCTGATTTTAAATTTCTGACTTTTCATCTCCTTGGGCTGCTTTCTTATACTCTCCCCTTCCTTTTTGTTTTCCAAGCATTTCTTCATGGCTTGGCCCCCTTCGGTCAAGGCTGTCTGTTGCAAACAGAGTCCCCTGTGTGCTCCTTGGCCCTCGATCTGTGTTTGCCTCGGCCCCGCTCTGTTGTTTGCCTTCCACAACTCCACACCACAAACTCTAAGGTTCATTCCTTCCTGTCGTGGCTGCGCAGCGGGGGTGGGGGGTGGGGGCGTGGTCACCTCCCCGCTCCCTTAATTGGTTTTATTTTGTTTTCTTACAGGCTCCTTTTTGTCTAATGAGATCTACCTTACCTTATTTTCTCCCATTTGCTTTGATATTCCCCTTCTTCTTTCCTACATCCTGTTAATTATAACCCCGAGCACTCAGATTGCTAGACTCAGGTTATTTCCTTGCTTCTCATGGTAAACCCCTAGCAGTTTACACCAGATTTGCTCATTTCCTCAACTTTATTGTAGCCTCCTAGGTTACATCAAGTTACCCTAATCCTTGTTTGCTTAACTATGTCAATCCACATTGCAGGAGGATAGGTGCAGGTTCATTTTGTTTAGACAAACAATGGTTGCACTATATTCATTTTTAATTACCAACCTGGTATTTTGATAAGAAAACAATTCAATAAGTTTAAAATTACTTTTTTGCATAACAAAACAGGTAAGTGAAAGTAATGATTTTCAGTAATTTTTAGTAGTTCACTGGAAGCTACCACCAGCTGTAAGAGGAAAATGATGCTCCAGTGTTTAGTTTTATTACAATATTCAAAGAAGAAAAAAATGCATTCCAGCTGAAAGGTGTTAATCCAAGCTGACTCGCAATCTTTGGATCAGGTGTGCTGTCCACCTGCCACTTATTATTTTAAGAACAATTTATGCTCTTACGTGTGTAATTCAGCCACATACCACAATATTTTTTTTGCACTTCTGAAGAGATAGTGTTATGCCACATTGTATAATGCACTTACAAAAGTTCATAGTAGAGCTATCTTATCTGAATGACACTAGAAAACAGCAGAGAGAGATCTAGAGAAAAAAAACCATCTAGATTTTTGCAGTCCAGATGTAATATTGTAACATAACATATTATACAATAAACAATATTGTATAATATTGTAACAGTATTGCTACTGTATATTAGAAAAGTGTAAGAAATGTTGTAATCCCAGCATAAAGCTTTTGGCTTTTATTCAATCCATTTTTAGTTTTTCTTACCTGACCCATAAGGTTTTAACAAAGTTATTATCACTCCAAGATCATAAATTGGCAGAGGTGCTTACAGCTGAAATCAGAGCTACAAATCCAGTCCTGTCTGAGATCAATAAGCCAAAGTTTATTACTGGTGGATAAAGCAGAGGAAGCGTTAGCCAGGTCCAAGTTCTCCAAGGAATTTTGTTCGCAAGGTCAGATCACAGAAATTATTCTAGTATTTGAGTGTCCTCAGGCAGGGCTTAAATACGCGGAATATCCTGAGCAGAGCCTGCCCTCATTAGCTCTGGTTATCAGAGCCAGGTTACTTAGAACAACCTACTCCTGAGAAGATCGTCCTGCCTAAGGCTAATCATCCTGCAACTTCTCTTTTTCCTGCCCTTTCTCCTTCCACTGTATGGGGATGAGACTCACCAGTCCAGTCTCTACTTAGAATTCAGAATTCTCCAGGACTGGAATCAGCACCAATAAGGCCCAGTTCAGCTCTACAATCCACATTGTTCTTCAGCACCTGGGCTGTCTAGCGCCTCATCTTGCTCTCCTTCCTTCTTTGATGAGGACTCACCTACCAAGAGCATAATGCTCTTCAACTCAAATGGCCAAAATGTCCTAAGGGTAACTGAACTATGTTGGAGCCTCATATCCTAAGGCTTCCCTGGAGAAGAGAGGTAATTGCCTTAGTCTATATTATTAATTAGAGGTGTTCTGGGCTCCTTCTGTGAGAGCACTGAAGGTGAACAAGTACAATAGCATGGATTACACGTAGCTGATACATTAAGCCACAAGTGACTGAGTTCACACAATATACTAAGCCATAAAATCATAATTTACAAATCATAATGGCTGGGTTTACAGTATATATTAAGCCAAAACCAAACAAACCACATGGCCACTTTTTCACTCTATTGCCTGTGCTGTTTCTTACCTGAGGCTCATTCTCTACCTTCTCCGAAAGCATCAGCTGTTTAATTGCAATATAACTATCAGATTGAACTATCAGATTGCTGCATTGACATCCACATATACCCTCACTGTATGTATACATGCTGGATCTTTTCTACTTCGCTTGAAGTCAGCAGTCTGGGCCCTAACTCAAGGTGGCACTGGAAAAGTGGGCTTGGGACTAGCTGTTTCTGCAGTATTTCCCACAATGTTCCTGAGTAGCACTCCCATTTCAGTTATTGTAAAGTGGAAGATCTCTTTTGCAAGAACAACAACTCAGTCCTAGCAGCTCTGGTCTGCAATCTGAAATGGTATGGCTAACACCCCAAATGATAAGCGGCATTTTATGCTATTTCTAATGATTGATCCTGTGGAGAACTGCAATAATCTGAGGACTGAAAATGCAGGTGCAAAAGCTACACTTTTCCAGACAAAAACTCCGGTCCTGGATACAGGGATGTTTTAAATGGGTTATTGGGGGCTGTGCAGGATGGACAATAGATGGTGGGGAACACAGCGATGTCAGCAGAACCAAAGCTTTTCAAGTCAGCTTGAGAAAAGTTTCTACTTTGTGTGTGTGTGCGCACGCACATTCACACGTGTATGCATTTCGTTTCATCTTTTTAGAAACTGCAAAGGTTTCTCCACTTGTCCCGCATTTTGGGCAGGGCATTGACTGCTTTCATTTAAAATGCTGCTGAAAATGGATAGTAATTCCCTTTCATTTTGAGTTGAGGAGTAGATGAAAGCTATAGTGGTAACCCTAAACTAAGCACCTCACAGTTAAAAAGCAAAGAATCCTCCCTCATGGCCTCCAAACCCACTTTCCCTCTCATGTGGGTGCAGTTCTACCCACTTTAAAGCCCTCACCTTCCAAAAATATTGAGTGCAGCTGTTGGCCACCAAAAAATTGCCCACCCTTGCTCTAATGTAACAAATACCTTAGGATGTTCAACAGCGTTTTCTGTACATGATATTTTTGTTCTCATCAAATCTGGCTTTATTCCTCACAATATCATGTTGTTTTCTTTGTATGTGGACAATTTTGGCCAGGAAAGTGACTTGCGGGGAAAGTTTAAATGCTATATTCCTCAATGGTTTATTTTAGTCTCTTAAAACATTCCAATCACAAATAGTTGCAGAAAAGCTTATTACAGGAGCTTCCAAACTCAGAGAGGGGCTTTACAACATTCCTACTGAACACTCAATCATCCTTGATGGTCTTTGAAGCTCGCTTTAAACTGAGTAGAAACAAAACGTACATGTTTTTAAGAGCCATCCAGATTTTTTTAAAAAGTCGCAATGTAATGATACTGTTTCCCTTCCGAAGTAAACAAGTATTGGCAACCCAAGTAATGTTTTGTTTTTATAGGACTACAACAGTTATACTTTAATTAAAAAGTTTTTGTTTTACTAAAATTCTACTATAAAATTTGCAGTCCTACAGTAGAATTTATACTGACGGAGATTATAGCTGATAGAAAAACAAAGCTGACTTTTCCCCCCCGTCTTCCTCTGTTTCCAAGCTGCAGTCGTCTGTGTGACTCTCGTTAATCGACTTGAAGGGGATCAAATCAAAGCCTCTCATGACGTTCTAGCTGAATATCAGCAACGACCTCAGCAGTTGATTGCAATGTTGATCAAAAAACACCTTGGGCTGATTAATGACAAGAAATTATTAGATAATGCAGTAGTCTAAAGAATTGCAGAATGTAGGAGCCCGAGACATCATATAGTCACACATGTGAGCCACAAATGTTATATGCATTGACATTGTTGGGTTTTTATATGAAACACAAGAACAGGAAAAGAAAACAGTTTCATTGATACTTTGAATTTAGTGGGAGGAAAAACTACTTTTAATTCTGGATACATCATTCTACCTACAACAACATACTGGATTATGCTTGTTACCACCAGAAGACTTATCTGTATTATTAACTACATAAAATTAATATTAGTAAAGTACCAGCTGAAGGCAAAGAAAGGAATGAAACCATCAAGTGTTTAAAAAGTGTGATTTAAAGCCCAACATATTCTGTACAACTGCTTTTCACTGGGGGGAGACCAGTCTGGAACAATATGTTTCAAATTGCTATCTACAGGCAGTTTCAGCTTGGCTGCCCTAAAGAAGAATACAGGTTCTCTAAGTGAATGAGAGGAGGCGTACAACAGAAAACTTGGTACTTGCCACTCCTTAAGACTGTTTTAAAATACCATTGTGCTCACATTATTTGTTTGCTTTTAGCGTAAGGTGCTATTTGAACCCAGTTATAGTAATACATAAGCCATGATTTATGGTAGCATATGCATGAACTGTGCAATTATGGCTTATCCAACAAACTTTAGTTAAACAAACCATGGCTTGGATGACTTTGGATCAAAATTATTATAGACTATCAAGTAATGACATGAGATCAACTCAGTGATTATCATATAGCTCTTATTCATTCTACTAAGATGTTAACTTCATGATACCATGTCATTTACTGGACCATATACGTAGATATAAACAATGACCACTGAAAATGTGAGACTTCATCCTAGATAAGTCAATAAATCAACTCAAGAATCCCCCCGAGTTTGGAGGGACTTAGTTGTCAAAAGCACTTTGTCTGTAACAATGAGCCAAGCTACTTCTTGTATCTCAGGTGACAACTTGCCACTTGATTCCAAAGTAAAGCTGCCATTCCCATGTATTGTGGCTTAGCACACCTGAAAAGTGAGGCTAGAATATGATTTCCAAACACAGTAGGTAACATTTCATTTTAGACACCTGTCAGGCATTGATCAAATGGCCTTAAAATATTTAGACCGAAGATGTCAATGTATGGCAAGCTCAAAGCAGCACAGAAAATGTTCCTAGTACATGATACTATGATTCAAGTTGAATATGGAACATCCTGGGTGCTGGTTTCATCCATGAGAGTTTCAGTAAATATCAGGTGATGAGCTCCGTAATGTCAAACCAAGAGAAAGAAGAAAAAGAAACTGTACATTATAGATGCAGAAATGTGATCAGAAACTGCTACTGACAAATTCTGACTATATATTTGCTTGCTAATCAAAATCCAAGGAAAGAGAACCATAATCTTTTCATCTCTCTCTCTCTCTCTCTCTCTCTCTCTCTCTCTCTCTTTTTCTCATGAATCAGTCCATTATACAGGTGCTTTAAAAGAAAATCTGTATTAAGTTGGATTTGAAAACTATGCCATCTTATCATAATTTTGCAATACATTTATATAGTTCATTGTTTCATATATCACAATACATCTATTGAACATTTCTGTAAAAAATTAGTTACTTCACATGGTAAAATAACCCACAAAAGAGAGTGGGAAAAGACTGTTTAAGAAAGTATTGTACTAGTGATCATGTGTTTAATAAATGTTTACAACATTTTTGAGGTAGTAGAGTTTTTCAGTTCTTGAATGACCCAGGGAGAGGAGAAGAATAATCTGGGCTTTGTGAACTGCTACTCCAACCAACCAACCTCACAGAGGTGGCCCCTGAACTGACCAGCTGCTTCAGAGAGGAGATTTTGGAAAAATAATGTCAATTTCACATAACACATTTAACCAGGTTAATTAAAGAACTTATGGCTGAATGTGCAGAACATGCAGCATTTTGGTTTAAGTTTGTGGGTATTTGGGGGGAGATGTGGCTTAGTGTGTTACACAATCTCATTTACTATCTTATGATGTAATGAACTGTGCATACCTTGAAACTGGGTTAATGCTGTCTGGTATGAACGCAGCCAAAGAGCACTCTCATATCACTACTAGGTTTACTCCCCAATCCTTCTAAAGCCATTTGAAGGTGACCCCTGATCATCTTCACTTTTACCAACCTTGAAATGCTGGGACCAGGTAGAGACCATCAGAACATAATCATGCTGTCAGCTGACAAACAGGATAGTACAAAAACTTTCAGTACCCAAACCATTTATTCCTTCACACCATTCCATTCAACATAAAAGGGAAAGAAAGTGAATAGTTACCATTCAAACACCCACTCTTACACACACTGTCATTACATTCATAGATTTCTTTGGCTGCTTGTCAAAAAATCAGAATATAGTAAACTTCATGGATCTTGGATTAATAGACTTTGGCTGCAGTGGAGAAAATCTTTCTGCTAACTGCATGTTGTTGCACATGTGTAAAATCTGGTTTGCCATTTTGAACATCCATAAAATTCCATTTACCATTTTATGCATGCATAAGGTACATAAAGCATGTTAAATATACATGCATAAAATCCCATTTGGATTTAACAGACATTCTGATTTAATAAGCACTCCTTTTGCCCTCATTCATCTGTTAAATCAGAGGTTTATTGTGATTGCTGTGAGCGGGATTTACTCATTTGCAAAGGTGTGATTCCTGTTTCTGTTTAAGAGTCACTACCAACATTGATAGCATGTCAGCATTTTTTTCAACTACGGATTTTTTACAGCAGCTTTAAACATGGTTGGTGATAGTGGCAGGATTGGGGGCATGTAGCAGGATAGTTCTGAAACCAGCAGAGGTGAAATGGAAGAGTTGTATCTGTTTTCTCCTCTTGTTTGCAGGGGAAGAGCAATGCTGCTAATGGCTCCCCCCCCCCCCCCGGGGACTGTTTTGCAATGAGAGTTCCCTTCAAATATGCTCTAAACTGAAATTCTATTGAGAGAAAGTAACAGTTGCCTTGAGCTAAGCAGGTAGGGAGTGAAATGAAGGAGGAGCTCCTGCCAATGGGGAAATAGGATTGCCCACAAAGGCAGTGTTTGACAGCATTGCAACTAACTCTGCTGCCGTTTCAAACACAACGGAGGTGGGCCAGCAATAAAGCACATTCAGCTACCACCTACATAATAGGGTCACAAAGGTCTGGACTGTTTTAGAACGGGCACAGAATCTTCATGTGGAAATGCTGAAAGGGCAATAGCACTTGGCAGGGTTATCTTACTTGTTCTTTCGCCATAAGTGTCACAGCAAGGGCTACCCTACCTGGACTGCAGAAATGCGGGAGATCGTTAGATGGTAGCAAAGAGAGGTTCCTATATTTCTTCGCTACCATCTAGTGGTTATCCCATTTTTTGCAGCCTAGAAAGGGTAGCCAGTGTTTCTCAACCTTGGCAACTTTAAGATGTCTGGACTTCAACTCCCAGAATCCCATACTGCCTGGAATTGAAGTCCAGACGTCTTAAAGCTGCCATAATTGGGAAATACTGCCGTAGACACAGGTCCACCAATTTGCCTTCAGAGGTTAAACTTTTGCCTTTGTGTCTGGGTAGGAAATATCTGGGAGAAAGGCATGATATAACTTATATTTCTTATAAGCAACAAATAAATATTAATTAGATCCCATAGTGCAGGGTTCCTTAACCTTGGCAACTTCAACTCCCAGAAGTCCAGCTGTCTTAAAGTTGCCAAGGTTGAGGAACCCTGCCGTAGTGTATTAAGCAGAAGGTAAGGGTCTAGTTTTTCATTTTCACAATTATACAATAATAATAATATATTTCCCTGGCTTTTGGTAGGCTCAACCCTCTTCTGTGATTCACCCCTCTCTCAATTGCAAAATTGTTTCGAGAGCCTCATTCAAGCCATTTGTTTGGGGGCATCTGTAGAATTGCGTTAAGCTTTATTCATGCCACAGGGTTAGATCTTTTAATAACACTTCAGTGGGCAAAAGGAAATATATTCTAGAACCAGAAATAAACCTATTTTCCCCTCTGTTGGACAGCGAAACTAGACCTCAGAGCCTACACAGCTAAAGTCAGAGATTATTGTAGTAATGAGCTTTGCCATGCAGCAATGAAAAGTCTAATTTGCGTACAGCGACTTTCAAAGAACAAAACATCTATCACAATTCATGGAGTGCATGAAAGTAGTTTCTTTCCAAAAGGTTAGGTGGGAGTGAGATGTACTTTACACTCTGAAAACCACTGTGCTTCCTCATTAACCCATCAGTGCCAGCAAAGCCTGTAATTCCAAATATTGTCATTTGGTTTTGTTTTCATCAGCAAAATTGTCTCAGGACTGGCTTTTTAACTGTGAAATTCACAAGAATATACAATGGGCTCCAGGCATGAAGACCACAAAATTTGTCTGCATAAGAATCGGAGGGGAATGGTGGTGAGGAACCAGATCTAGCCTTACATGTTCTCCAAGGTGCATCCCCTCCCACTGCGGGCAGGTTACATACATGTCTGCTAAACATGCTCGACTTGCTCCTCTGGTAGAGCACACATATTCTGTGATGTGACTCATCATATTGCATAGCTCATAGGGCTATGCTGGGTTTGTACCTCGCAGCATCATCCCATGCCGGTTTTTCTTCTGGAGCATGGTGGTAGCAAAGGCAGCACAGTCGTCATGGACACACTCTTCTACTTGTAGCATTCATTACAAGGCGAGACGATAGCTACCAAGGTGGAAGGAGAGTGGATACATTCAAGGAGGACAGCTCCACTCAGGGCTATCGGTCTTGATGACTCAATGGCATGGGGTTTGGCAGCCTCAGGCCTCCAAAGAGCTGGTTGCAGGGAACAAAGTAAGAAAAGATTACTTCTCCAACTCCGGCTTCCTAGTACCCCAGAGGTATTTGGCTGGCCATATAAGAAAGGCTGTTCTGGGATTCGAATGCTCTTGTCTATCTCAATAAATACCAGATTGCAGCTGGATTTGCATGACACACTGGCTAAACATATTGTAGCCTAATAAAGTGTCCAAATCCAGATTGCATGGTTAGTTTATAGTTCAAAGTATTGTGCAAACCCAGGCCAGTTAGGTTAACTCATGGTTAAGTAAACTATGATTGAGTAAACCACTATTTACTATCCACTAGTTAACTACAGGAAAGCATATTGTGCAAACGTGGCCAGAACGTAAAGAAGGCAGTATCTGTAGAAAATAAAAATTGGGGGAGTTTATAGAGTTTTTAAATCTGTCCAAAACCCTATAGCCAAGTTTGGTATCAACATCTGTATTCATGGAAGTTTTGGGCAATAAGCAATAATTGAAACATCATTCAGGATTTCTCAGCCAGAAAGCAAAGAAGCATCAGAAACAACATCACCCTTCTTACATTTGATCCCAGAAGTTTCACTGCCACAGTGTTTACATAAAATGCTAATCTATGGTTAACTGGTCCAGTTTAATTTGTTAACCCTGTTGCTTGGGTTCATACAATATCTAGGATCATAATCTAAGTACACTGGCTGGCCTTAAATAACACAGATCAGCCAGCATCATTTTAGCCAGCATGCTTTGGAACCCAACTCCTTCTTGGCCATCCTGTTCATTACACGCCCATCTTTCTATCCCTCCATTAGGCTCTTTCCCACTTGCCTTGTGCTTCTGTTGTATCCTAGCCAGCCATCTGGGCTTTTGCCAACTCTGTTTCCCATATGGCTGCATTTGAACCCTGAATCTTCTCACCTCTGGACATTTGCCTACAATCATCTAACATATCCAACCTTGCCCAGGGCACAAGATGGCAGCTGTATCATGCATGGGTGAGGCAAATGCAGAGTTTAGATTAATCATCTCAAGGGAACATATTTTGCTTGTTAAAGATTAAGAAGTTGTATCTTACAAGAGCAATGGTATGTGAAGTCTTCAATGATTTTACAGTTAATAGGTTATAGATTTAAATTACATCCTGTCAAATTCACTACCCCATTGCTAACTGAAAAAAAAAAGGCTTTTTTGTTTTCTGCCAATTATGTCTACCTTTTGCAGGGAATGCTGTGGGTATCCTTATACATGCAGCAGTTAAGGCTGATTGAGCAAAGTCATGATGGGTGGCAGAGAATAGTATCTAGGGCCCACCTGGTGATGATCATGCCATCCGGAAGATTGCAAACGATGGTTCCTTTTCTTTTTCTTATCTCATGCCTTCCTTTTCTTTAGTTTAGTATTTCTCACTCCTTTTCTATACCCTGCGTAACACTACCTATCCCACAAGGGAATGGCATGATGAGTATGTGTGTACCTATAGTAAATCCTATATTGATTCTTTAACCAACTAAGCTGACATAATTATGGAACAATAAAAATGTTGTACAAAAGGATGTTTTTCTGCAACCTTCCACCCTCCAGATGTGACTACAATTAAACAGATTTTGTTTAGCTGGGATGCTTAAGTCTCTTTTCTAGTAGGTACATAATGAAACTGGGTTTTGGCTGGTGACTTTGTTTCCATTTTTTGAAAAATGAACTACCTTTAAATATCTTCAAACTGATGTTCACATTACTCTCTTGCCAAGCCACTGAGGTCAGGGTTGTCTTATTAGCAATTATTTTGGAGATTGGTCAAAGGTATGACCTAAACCAAAGGTGCTCACCTATAGTATCTACACAGGGGTGTAGATGTGTGTGTGTGTCTTGTGTGCATGCCACTTCTGCTATTGAACAACAACTCCTAGAAGCCCCAGCTACTTTGGCCATCAGTGAGTAGGAC